AAAAAAAGACTTTTTTTATTATTATTATTATTATTATTATTATTATTATTATTATTATTATTATTATTATTATTATTATTATTATTATTATTATTATTATTATTATTATTATTATTATTATTATTATTATTATTATTATTATTATTATTATTATTATTATTATTATTATTTTTATTATTATTATTATTATTATTATTATTATTATTATTATTATTATTATTATTATTATTATTATTGTGTGTGCTTACCCGTTGATACCAACTTTAACCATGATGCCTGATTTGGTCTTGTCCTCTGGGGAAGAGAAAACAGAAAACATTCAATTATTTGACTACATTGCGTTAGTCATTATTGGGTCAAGCACAACGTACAGGTTGTGAGGGTGAACTTGCAACGCTGATATCTAGAGATGAAGTCAGAGCGTGTAAATTTAGTTCATGTCACTACACTCAAATTCACAGTATTACAGCGCATTAGGTTTAAGCATTTGCCTTTTATAGGCCTAAAACTATATATAAAGTCGTGATACAGACTCGAACAAACAATAACCTCTCTCACACTTTCAGCTGTATATTCCATGTATTTGTAGGCTAGTTAAATACTTAATTTACATCTTCAGTAAAGCCCTTTTATCGGTATATTATGAACTGTGACAAGAAAAAAATTCCCTACAGTATATAAAGCGTGTATGCGTAGCAATTTACCGTTTGTGAGAAGCCTCTGTCCGTCCCGACACTTGGTGTGAGTGGGATGATTACAAGCACGAGGTTAATTTATACCTGGTGCGGCGGCGTTGACCACGCCCCCTTGGACTTTAGGCCATAATTACCACGCCCCCTTAGAATGTCAAGGTCGTATTGGGAAAAAGTTGGATGCATCACTAAAATAATAACAAATTCAATCATGCTAAAAGAAACTTTTTACATGTTACATTAAACATATTACATAACTACTGACATTTAATGTCGCTTTTGGAAAGTAGTTAGTGAAAAGGATCAAGCTTCATGTTTTTATTAAAGGGCAAGGCCTTTGTTTTGTAAGCGCTTTAATAATGATTAGTGCATTTGAAAAGGCTTTTAAAAATTAACCGTTGGCATGGAGGAAATGTTTTGTATACCATACATATGTTGTTAATAATCTTGGTGGCTGCAGGTTCTGTCCTAAATAATTGGAATCAATACAGTCAGAGACTTTCTGAGCTCACAACTCAGAGCAGTTACTCCACATTTTTGCAGGTGTACTTATTCTGCAAAAAAGACATTTATGATAAAATGTGCTTGCTAATAGTATTATCTTAACATAAAATTAGATTTGAACATGTCTCTCCACTCTGACCTTCTAACAGTAACTGGCCCAGACCGAGAGCGGGATGAAGCAGAGGATCAAATCGCCCTCATAGTGAGTGTGTGACATTTACAGGAAAGACCATGACCCTTCCCTTTCACCCTGCCATTCCTGCATCCCAGAATCCCTCACATAGGAAATCCAATGCCTTTTTGTACCTGCATAATCTCCAACCAGCACATACATATTCGCATGTACATCTGCATGCAAATTAATGCATGATAAACAATTGGAAAAGCATAAAAATGGTTGAAGAAACTGGTTAAACACTGGTTTCCTATTTTAAGGTATAGTTCACCTAAAAATGAAAATTCCGTCATCAATTAGTCACCTTTAAGTTGTTCCAAACCTGTATGACTGACTTTCTTCAGTTAAACACAAAAGAAGATATTTAGAAAAATGTGGGTAACCAAACATTTTCTGGTCCCCATTGACTTCCCTAGTATTTTCCCCCCATACTATAGAAGTCAATGGCGACCAGCAACTTTTTGGTTACCCACATTCTAAAAATAGCTTCTTTTATGTTTAAATAAAGAAAGAAACTCATACAGGTTTGGAACCAGGGTGAGTAAATAATGACAGAAATATTATAAAATAACTATCCCTTTAAAACAAGTACAATACTTCAGAGAGTGACAGGGTAGATTAATTGCTTAGTTTCTAAATTAAAGTAGTGAATTTAATCACAAAGTACATTTGATTAATCACATTATAATCTTTCTGTTATCCATCAAATTTAGCGTTGGTGTTAATTATTTAAATGTAGCTGACTTTTTGTCTCGTGTCTGCAATTAATCACAGGGCTATACTAGTAATTAACACCGACACAGTCCCGGAGATTAGGTGCTCCATCATTGCAAAAGTACAGATTGTAAAAAAATAAAAAATACATTCAGGCTTTATAGCAATTAGCTGTCAAAGTGCAATGTTCTAATGTTCCACAGTAAATCTGCACTTTTGTTGCAAGATATGATTTTCAACTTTGCAAAACTACATACTTGTCCTGTTTTTTTTCTTTGCATTGAATTAGTCTTGTCCTTTTACTTAAACCTATGGTGTTAAGTATCATCTGAGTTTGCACTGCAGACATTTTTGGACTGTCGTGACCGCTGATACTTTTGACAGTTCCGAGGTCACAGAGATGAAGAGAAGGCCAAAGTGAGTTTGTCACAGGATATTGAAGTGGGGCGTAACAGTTTTAAAAATGCCATCTCACCCTTTAATCATCATAACATCCTTATGAAATGGGGTAACTGTAATGTATATACGTCTATGTGCATGTAATATTAACTTCTAAATAATTCTTCTTATTTAAACAGACTGAAAGCACTCAGTAACAGCCCCTCAGAATAGTGTATGTCTGCTCCCCAGCCAGCAGAGAGAATGTGTTGGACTGTCGCCAGGGTCAGGCTAAAAATACTCAAACACTCGAAGGCTGACCCCGCACCCTTTCCACTGCAGCTATCTTGTGCTCCTGTGGAGTGACCTGCACAATCAACTTCACCATCTTACGACTGACTCATATGATTCAGACAGAATCAGACAGGCTTCTGAACGTAACCCTGACAAACACAAACATCACGTCTGTCACGTCACATTGCCAAGTTCACTCCAGATTCTTCCGCTGGAAGATTTGCGGACCAGTTTTTCATATGCTGATGAGTAGCTGTTTGTTTAAACTCTGTTCTCCCGTGTGGATCATTCTTCACTAGCTCTGTTAGCTGGTATGTGAGGGGGTTATATATTAACTACTAACTATAAAGTGGCATAGCTGTAGAGCTCAGAGTCCAGGATCCTGTGTTGTCTGAAGCGCAGACTGTGCCCAGACAAGTCTAGTGTCTCGAGTCTCAGGATATAGTGCTATCTTGTGGTCAAAATAAAATAATGCATTCGAGCTGATTTTCATTATTTTAGGTTTGCAGCTTATACAAATGTGTTACTACGGGCAAATATATGGATGTAAATAATAGGAAACAGTTGCAGAAAATTGGATGGTGACTCCAAGATAGGCTTGAAGTATGATTTTGGTCATGTCAGAGTTAGGAAATGCTCTTTTAAAGAACCAGTTCTTAACCAGGGGACCGGGGCCCAATAGGAGGCTTCCGAATGACTTAAAATGATTAAGATTAATTTATTGTAAAATAATCTAATTTACAAAGTGAAATCTGAGTATTTTTTGTTTATTGTTTTTATTTTATACATTTTTTAAACTCCAATTTCATTGCAAAATGTAATTATAATGATTATGAACTGTAGTTTTATTAACTATTATGCAATTCTTTAAACTGGAATCACAAAAATAATTGTGGTTAATTTATGAAATATATTGACATTTCTAGTTTCTGTTGATAAAAAAAGTTTGAAAACAAGTGGCTTTAGTAGGAATACAGTATATCGATTATATAAGGAGCCTTCAGATATTGTGTAATGCAATGGAAGGCATTCAAGTCAAAAGCTTCAGAACCACTGCTTTAAAGTGATATTTAACTCATTAAAATCATGTCAATTATTTATAAGATTGTTTACTTTTTTCTATACAGTGAAAGTGTATAGTGACCATGGCTTAATTATGTAAACATAAATTGTTTGGATTACTTTTATGGTACTTTATAGGTTTTTTTTCACACTTCTGGAGCCCATTCACTTTCATTGTAGTGCAAAAAGTATCTTGGGCGTTCTGCATAAAATCTTCTGTGTCCCATTGAAGAAAGAAATTCATATAAATTGACAATCATCACATATATACCCCGATAGTCTTCTAAATGTGCACAAGCAGCAAGGGATTATTACGTATCACGAATAAAAGAACACTTTTAACAACACCATTGCTTTATACTCACTTTGAGTTAGCTTAACAAACTCATTAAAAATTTGTAGCATTTTTATTTATCGTTTCACTTTAAGAGTAATTTAATTACTGCTTCTCTTATTCACTTTTAAATTTAATTGTACTGTAAAAATAAAAGACAGAACAGAGGACATAGATCATAACAGACTAATTTACCAAAATATTTTAAGATAAAACACTCATCAGTTCTTAGAGAGAATATCTGTTCTATAAAATGTAGTTCAAGTTGAGATGTTGTGCCTAAACATAGTATGGATTTTTTTTCATGCAAGCTATAATCCTAACGCCTACATAAACATTTCACAGGCTGATTGAGTGGTAAGAAATGAAGAGATTATTAACGCAGTTCCCAAATGATTCAGTGGTTGTGGATGCATGTAAGACTACCAGTTCCTTCTCTGCTTTAGAAGAATAAACACTTATGCAGAGGCATGCTGTTTAAATTCACTTACAATAATTGTTAATAGTACATCATACAGTATATTGTTCAATAAAATGTTTCCATGAGCAATTATTAAGTTCCTTAAAAAACTAAATATCCTGCACGTATCCACCACTAAACCCCAGACTGCCCACTTCTCATCACAGAAGGATGTGGATGCGTGTCAGCCCGCATGTCTTTGTTCAATGGGAGCTGATTAAGGCTGTGAGAATCCTATTTTGCAGCCCATTAATTCCTTGATTTGCAATGTGTGTGGGTGAACACACAGATTTAGAAAAGCACCTGGGACACCTGGGTTTAGAAAAGCATAATAAAAACACTTGATGGTGCCGCAATTAAGAGACATGCAGAAAGCAAAAAGAAACATGACGTGGAAGAAATTTTATTCATGCAAAAACTACAGAAGGTGAGCAGTATATGTTCTATAAATCATGCATTTTGAGACTATTTGAGACATTACTTTAAGATCTTTGCTTACTAGTAAACTACTAGCAGATTCTCAAAACGATTGAATCTCATCTACATCTCAAGGAACCAGTAAACACCACTACCTTCATTCAAGAAATAAATACAAATACAGTTAAACAACATGTCACTTCAAATCCCATATAAAAATAAGTATTATTGAAATACACAATATAATGAATTTGTCCACCTAGTTTTCACGGAGTCCCAAACCAGACCAGAATTCGGTAATGCCCTCTACCTAAAGCTAAGCGGGACAACAGTCATCTCATCATCTCGGTCCGTCTCTCAGTTCATTATTAGCAGCCGAGGCCACTCATAGAGCCGATCCGGTCCAGTTTCAGGCCAAAACAGCCTCGGTTCCAACCCCTCCGCAACCGGTCTGGTGGCGCTCGCTTCTGATTGGCCAAAGCCCCCTTCAAGAGGCGGAGCCAGGCATTCTCACTCTGCACAGGTATTTCAATCCACTTGGGGTATTCTGCCACCTTTAGCCCAGAGCTGAAGGTCTGCAAGGGCTCTTCTGACTGGTCACTCGTGAGGTTCTCAAGATCATCAAGGGTCAAAAGGTCATTGTAGCGCTCAAGGAACTGCTCGATGACCTGCATCGTGGAGACAGGATGTCTTTTTTATTGAATAAGGCTACATTCTATTTACTACTTAAAAATGTATATGTTTAGTTGTGTGAGGAAGCCCACCTGCATGGCTTTGTCAGGGGTGTGAAGGGTTCGGGTGTGGCCCGGCACCGGACTGGCCAGAAGCACTAGGAGCACCACAAATACAGAGGAGCACAGCATGGTGCAAGTGATAATGGCCCCCAATAACCCGCTAATGTGTGTCGATATGGATAGATTTAGATGGACAAATTTAGATGAACACACTCAAACACAGATAAAGGAGAGAGAAGCATGGAAATGCAAACAGAAAACAACATTCTGCAGAAAACAATACACAGTACATACAAAGAAACAAATAAAACACAGAAAGAGGTTAGTTTGTTCTGCATTTTGAATAAATTCAGCTACATATACACCTTTCAGATTAGAACAAAATCATCTTGGAAAAGAAACAAAAGCATCTTGGACTACGCTATAACTGTGTAACAGTAAATAGGCTAATCTCACAAATAAAATAAAATAAAATCCATGTCACACTGCACAACCCACCCCCAAGATTTTTTACATATAGATAATAAATCCATATTAGGATCATTATATTTATTTGGAAATTGACATTATTTTCATGTAAATACATTTTCTCCTTAAATTCTGTCCTGACATTTTACTTCTTACATTTGTTTTTTGTTGTTTTTTGTAATTCCTATTACAAAAATGATTATCATTATATTAGTTTAATGCTGTTTTATTTTAACTGTATTACACTGAAAATGACAATGATTTTCTATTTAAATCAGCATAAAGACAGCACACAAAATACTACTATGACATAAAAACCTCAACATGTAAAACATATCAATACTTGTTTGCACATTACAGGAATAATAATGATTTTGTTACATTTATTTTTATTTCTTTATTTCAGCATTACGATAATGAGAATTTGAGGGAGTTCTTAATTGTCATGAAAATAATGTCACAAAAATGATCATAAAAACATCCTTCATTTTCTATCACTATGTTATTTCTTATTTCAGACGTGTTCTTGTCAGGTTTCATGGAATGCACCCTTATTCTGTGCAGAAAAAAACATTCAAAATGATTGACGTTCATGCGAAATTCCATAAGTATTTAATATTTATAAAGTAATACAGTCTTACTGATATAAATCTCAACAAATATAGTTGTTAAACTACGTTTTCAAAGTAAAAATCTGTACTGATTAACATGTTTCCACAATTTTCACACAAGAAAATAAGCAGATAAAGTTTTCAAATTGTTTTACTCACCAATAATAGTTCGAAGAGCTTTTAAAACCTGACTGAATGCTTTAGTCCTCCATCCCTCTGTCTCGACTCAGTTTTTGGCACCTGCTAAGAGCATCCCTGTCTTTCCCTCTCCACTCTCTTCCTTCCTCTGTGTGCAGGAATGTGATTTAAAGCGAGTGCTGTTTGTATGTCAGTGTGTGTTTGCGTGAGCTGGATGAGTATGTTAATAGTATCTCATATTTAAGGATGAGGTGTCTATATATGCTTTACCCCCCCACCCCCGTTCCACAACACACACCTCTTTTCCCTCCCTTTTCTCTCTCTCCTACACACACGCACATATACGCAAATGCACCTTATTATCTTGATGTCTCCGAGATGATGTCAGAGGTATGGAGGGGGTGTTTGATGTTGTCGAGGGGATGCCACCTTCTGCCTGGAATATGACATCATATGCACGCACACCGCAAAAGAAGTCGTGACACAAACGCAGGGCACCACAACCAGGTGTTGTCTCCCTCCGCCCTCTACTTTAAATGATCTCGCCCTTCCGTTTTTCATTCCTCGTCCATCCATCCCTTGTCTCCTCACATCTTTCTGTTTGCAAGGTGCGACTCTGGCTGCCAAAAGCACCAGCGGCTGGCAGAATATTGTGTCTGTTGAGAGGAGGCCAACACTTAACTCAAGGAGATATATAGAGCTTTCAATGTCTGTTTGAATAGGAAAGAGACGTTTCTAGCTGTTCCTGTGTCATACGCACAGTCCTAAAGTCACGGTCAATATCCATCATCTGAATGAAGTTCATTTTTAAAATGAATTTGCACTAAAAGTCACTTATTGAATATGAAACCTTTCATTTTTTCCCCATTAATCTGCTTCTGTGGGTCACTGTGAGAAATGTCTTTGTGTCTTTTTTTTTCTCTCTCTGTGTGTGCCATCACAGACTGCCAGTGCCATCTGCTTACTGCTTCCCCTGGCCTCAAGAACATGATACAAGAGCCAACACACACACACACACACACACCCAACTTTAAACGTGCTAATATACAAGAATATCACTGAAAAACTGTTTAGCAGTGATTTACTCATAACATACACAACTGTATCAATAAATAGTGTATACAATAAATATACATCTCTCTCTCTCTCTATATATATATATATATAGAGAGAGAGAGAGAGAGAGAGAGAGAGAGAGATACAGAGAGAGAGAGAGTTTTCACAGAAAACTGTGCAGTTTTTTGGGAGAAAAAACCCTGCATCCGTTATATAATATGAAATTTTGACTTTTTTTTTTCAAGTGTGGAAAAGTGGAAAAGTGTGCAGACTTTCTTTTTTTCTAATTTTATTGGACTTTATTTTATCCTTTCTTCTACGCACCTATCTAGGACATGTATGTGTGCTCTCTTAATTACTCGCTGTTTGAATTTTAATACAAGAAAAATGCAGGTAGCTTTATATTATGGATATTTTATATTACATATGATACTAATTTAAAATAAAATAAATAGAAAAACATTTTGACATTCAAAAAACAAACAAACAAATTGTCACAAACTGCCTGTCTTGGTTTAGTTTTCATTTGGTTCTATTAAGGCCTGTGTTCCTTTGTTCTAGTTTCCTGCTCCTTGTTTGTTACTATGGTTTCTAATTAACGAGTCATCACCTGTTCTTCATTTAAGTTCTTCTTTCTCGTTCAGTTGTTGTTTGGTATTGCTTGTGTGTAGACATGCTGTTATAATGTGTTCTTGCATGTGGATTATCTGAGTTTGTTTCATTAAAGGCCCTTTTGGTTTTGGAAACCTATTTGAACCCTTTTCTTCATCTTCTGAATCCAATTGTGACAAATATATGTTATATACATAGAGTTAGGAAGATTACTTTTAAAATGTATTTCGTTGAAGATTGCAAAATACAAAAAGTAAAGGAATTTGTGATGTATTTTGTTAGATTACACAAGTTTTGTAACCATCTAAATACTTTAGAATACTAATAAGAATGTAACAAAGGGTCCAGAGAAAAATGACATCAACCAAACATAGGACTTGGTTTTCCTCTGCATAGGAAGGGAATAAATGCAGAAAAATTAATTGGATGAACAGGTTAACTTACTCTGTCTTCTGGGAAACATGTAATAATTAGCTTCTGGAGGGCAGTACTAAATGAAAAAAAAAAAATCTTTAAACAAAATAAGAACTATTTACATATCCTGTTCAAAAGTTTACACCCCCTGCTCTTAATGCATTGTTTTTCCTTCGTGAGCATCAGTACATTTTTTTCACCTTTTGTAATAGATGAATGAGTCTCTCAATAGTCCATAGTGTGAAAAAATGGATCACAAAATCATACAGTCATTGTTAGAAAGGGTTCGAATATACAGAAGATACTGGAAAACCTGAGAATGGGCAGGACTGGAGGATTTTTCTGAAGAACAGCGAGCAGTTTAACTGCATATGACAAACAAGGGACTCACAAACAACTATCACAAAACATTAAAAACAGTTGTGGATCATCCAGATAACAACAGACAGTTAAGATTCAATATGTACATTTTTAAATGGGGCCATTTTCATAAATTCAGTCATTAGAGTAACTGTAAACAAGTTAGGCCTATGTGAAATAGTTTATTCAGGAAAGTACTAAATAAAAATAGCATGCCATGTTTATGATCCATTTATATTGTGACAATTAATACAATTTTGTATTTTGTAAGGGGTATGAAACTTATGAGCAGAACTTTAGTTTAGGATGCTTTTGCAGAGTGTCAGAGTCAGAAAATCACCAATTGCTGTTTACATTACAGTTTACAATAATGTTTCAATGAAATGAATGACATTAAAATTCAAAGTAATCACTTTAGTAATCTAAATACTTTTCAGATGTAACTAATTTGATTACCACCCATTTAAAATGTAACTGTAATAAAATACAGTTACTCATATTTTGTATCTGAAATACGTAACATTACTCCCCAACCCTGCATACATACAATATTTATGTTAAGTTCTTTTGCATTACACAGTTAATTCTAACTTAATGAGACCATTAGCCTGAAAATGATATCAGTACATTATAGGGACACATATAAATGTATTTAATTCACAGTGTTTGTGCAATATTTAATTAAATATTTAATTCAATAGTTCTCAATTGCAGGCTAGGCCCCACTAGGGGGCCTCTGCGAACATTAAAATGGGCTTTAAAAGTGTTTAGGCTACTATAAGACAAAACAACCATTAAAATATGCTAAAATGATTCAAAATCAAGATGTTTCTTTTAATCTGTGCCCTCAACAACTATTTGTTTCCTTTGAAGAAGCAGGGTTCCTATAGTCCTGAACAATCTGGATGCTTTATTTTAAAAGTGTGATTTCTAGACCTGGACAAAATGTAAATGAATAAAACCTTAAAACATCATTTTCATAATGAACATACATTTCTAGCTATGCCAAGCTCTAAAACATTTTATCATGTAGAAATTGTGATAAAATACATTTTTAAAATACATCCTTATTGTTAATCCAGTATATCACAAGCGACTGTATAAGACATGTAAATTAATTTGTTTAAAAGAGTGGGAACTCTAAAACCAATCAGTCCTTAAAATTTTTGGAATATTGAAATTTAAATATTTTCATTTTAAATACATTTTATATTTACAGAAACTGAAAATGCAAATAGATTAAAAGAACAAGAGGGACACTAAGACAACCTAATATGTGTTGATACAGAATTAACTTGTCACAACCCAACACGACACTAGCATGATTCTAAATGATTCATTTATGATCTAACTCACAGCATACATAAAGACAGTGATCTAACATAATAATAGTCTGACAAGAACTTTTCTAGAAAACCGCACACATAGCCCTGAGGTATCCCTGGCTTCATAAAAGCATCAGCGTCCCGAGAGGGGCTCTTGTGTTTGATCAGGTTGAAGCCAGTGTTTTTACGGTTGTGTACCCGGTCTGAGTTTCTCACAGTGAAGGATCGCAGGTTTATCCAGCCAGCTGCTGCCACTAGCAATCAATCTAGCAGCAACCTAGCAACAGAGCCATTTACAAGATCTAATTACTTTATTTACATTACAGAGCCTATTTACTCTAATTACAGATATCAGTCAAATTAAAAATGTAAGCTACCTCATTTAATATGAGAGTAATCAAAAAGTCAAGGTTTTGTGCCAAAAAGTCATAATGTAGTTTTCAGTTATGTATTAAATAGTGCTGTCAAATGATTAATCGCGATTAATCATTTGGCACCACTAGCATTAAAACTTGTTTTACGGTATATGATATGGTTTGTGCTGTCCCATCCTTTTGTAACAGCCTCTGCAAAACCTGTCATACACCGTGACAGATTACAAAACAATACACACACTGCAGTGTTTCACAAAAATGTAGCTTGTTTCTAACATTGGGATCCTTCAGAAAGTTAAATGCAGAGTTGCAGGCGCTACACACAGCCAAAAACAACAGGTTTCACACATTGTGCTTATGAATTCTTCTGGTGTTTAAGAATAATAATATCTATCCTATTTCCTCCCTATCAGTTCACCTTGACTGGGTGACCCAAGTTTCTGAACGCCAAATATTTGAGTTGTTTGCAGGCAGTGATCTTTTAATGGAGGCTGTTTTCAAAGCCAAAGTACTATAAAGTAAATCCATCCTCTCAAAATGCATCAAAACAGTTAGAAAATACAAGACTGCAGCCATGAAATAATACAAGGCTTTCACCCCAGACTTTATAACAGACTTATGGACTTCTATAACAAAAAGTTTTTACTGCAGGCTTGCATGAGCACAATTCCCTTTTAATGAATGTTCATACCACTGATGTTGTGTTTCACTCAAAATATATCTTATATGTTCCACAGAAGAAAAAAAGTCATACAGGTTTGGAACGACATGAAGGTGAGTAAAATTTTATTTTCTAAGAAAATCTTCAACGTTTACTGATAATCTGGAGCTAAGTGACTGTGACTATGAAATAGATTCAATAAGCATATTTAATTAAATAATAAATATAATTACATAGCAAATGTAGTATTCATTTATTGTTAGTAAAAATAAATCATTTTGATTGCATGCTAACTTTGAGAGTCCTAAAATTAAATTTTTTAAAAATATTTGTTAGATCACATTTTTCTGTGATCCCTAGCGACACTATTCTTCGAAAACCCCTGTATTAACTCTTCCACCACCATTGACAATTTTCCCTCTTTCCGTGTCTTCTCTGGTATACAGTAGGAGGCGCTATTATGCATCTTCTGAAAGAATATTGAATCCCTGGATCAAAACACAGTGAAGAAGCAGAAACAATTGATCGCATATGTAAGTGCATGCATATGTAAAATAATGCCATCATCAAACATT